TGATTTAAACTAGTGATCTTGTGAGCAGCTGCAGCTGTATGCTTTTATTTTTTATGTCAGGCTGTCTCTGAGCGCTCCACCTCCTCTGTCTGAGGCTGGTGTGGTGTGAGGCGGACAGAGCTCAGTCGAGGCTGCTGGAGCTCAAGGTCCTGACCCAGGGAGCCAACACGAGTCAGTCCCAGACTGAGCTGACTTGATCAAGTCTCTCTCTGCCTCTGGTGAAGAGGGGGGTGGAAAATCCTCCATCTCAGACCGTTCAGAGATGTAACTATCTGCGTCGCTGTGGTCACTCTCCATGTAGCATCAATTATGCTAATGCTAGCTGCCTGTCGCGTTCTCTCGTCCTGGCCACACCTCCGCTCTCTAATCCCCCCTCCCTCCTCTACCCACTTTGATGCATTTTTCAAATTTCGCCTTGGGGCGGAGTTATCTTTTCACAGGGGCGGTAAGATACACTTTAAGTACTGGTACCGATTCCCGTGTACCGGATATTGGTACCAAATCGATTCAAATGTCAAAGGTACCCATCCCTACTGGTCTATTCCTAACCCCAACCTTGATCAAAACTTAAATGACACCCTACCTCTAAACCTAACTAGTAGGGTGCAGTAGAGCTGCAACAATAGTGAGGACCGATACAATGTCCTCACTTTGAAAGTAACTTTTTTGCAAGTGGTCCTCACTCTGTAGCAGAAACGAGTACACATACACACACTCTGTTTAAATGTTGTGTACTGGGGTTTGACGCATGTCGAGRTGTGGGACTGACTCTGCTGTGTTTATATGACTAACTCACTACATGACAAAATATGTCTAAAAGCACAAAACTCAATTGTCTTTCTCAGGGAGGATGTATTTGTTCTACGGAAACAAGACATCAGTGCAGTTTGCCAGCTTCAGCACCACAGTCAGCTGTCCTGGAGAGCTCCAGTCTGATATCCTTCAGCAGGAATTCCTGCAGCGCAGCCTGTCTTATTACTGTCTTGTCATCCAACATGTAGGAAACCTCTTCTGCAACAAGGCACTAAGCTTTCAGATATTGTAAAATAGGATTTGGGAGAAAACTTGTGAACAATTGGTAATCTTTGCTGCTATCAGACTAGCCATTAACTCATCAGTTCTGTCAACATCCGTACTCAAACAAGGGTTTGAAATTCTCTACAGGATTGTGGGTATTGCACATTTTATGATGGATTTCCTGCAAATCTAGTTTTTATAATGTGGAAAGTTCCCTCACCTCGGTCCATTCAGAAGAGACACAGAGGCTGAAACTCCCCGTCTTTACCTGGGAGTGAGGTAGTGGCAGAAACTATAAATCCAACACCTCAGAACAGGCCAGGGGTCGTCAACCAGTAGGTCAAACATTTATCTACAGCAGGTAAGATACTGATTGAAGCTGCTGTTAGAACCTGGAATCAGAGGTAACTTTTCCCTCAATGAGATGATGATGATGATGATGATGATGTTGCTCCTTAACCTCTGGGCACAGCTGAATGTTCAGTCCAAACCTGTGGAGCCGCTGGTGGAGGGTGGAGCCCAGATCCAGCAGGTTCTGAACATCGAGTGTTTGACGGACTTCAGTGACGCCCCGCTCCTCAACATTAAGTTCAGGTGAGAGGTTTTGGCTGATCCAGAGCTGGAGCAGAAATTTGCCTCACTGTCAGACTTTTATTTCTCATCTTAAAGATAAATTTATTTCATTGTATTTAACTTTCATCTTTGACATTTACAGTAAATTAAAGTGTGGTGGGTTTTGTTTTTCCTCCATTCAGACAGAAAACCTTACAGAAAACAAAACTCCAAGTAATGAAGAAGTGAAACATAAGAAATTAAAAAGTTCATAAATATATTGTGTGCACTAAAACACGACAGGTTACCTCAGCAGGGGGAAGTGAACCTGTGGTAAAGTTAGAGTCCAGTCTCACTTTAGTTTTGACCTGTTAAGAAGCTAAATGTTGTGACTGACTTTCATCCTTCTCACTACTCAAAATGCTAAAGTTTGGACAATAATAGAAATTCCCGTTAGCTATGAAGAGTTTGAAATGATTTATTTTTTATCTTTTTGGCCACATGGTTTGAACTGAGTTTCAAGCCTGTGAGAGTAAARTTGGTGCTGGTGACCAGAGACCTGGATGAAAACAAAGCTGTATAAACTGTGTGACAGATACGGAGGAGCTCTGCAGAACCTGACCCTTAAACTGCCAGTCACCATCAACAAGTTCTTCCAGCCCACTGAGATGGCCTCACAAGACTTCTTCCAGCGCTGGAAGCAGCTGAGCCAGTAAGTGTCCGTGTGTTTGTGTGCGTCTGTGTRTATGTGTGTGTCGCTGGTAATGGACATCCCAGCACATAACATAACATTACACATTTTTCCACCAGAGGCTTCACAGATGACCAAAATGGTTTGAGAACATTTTTGAAGAACCTTATGTAAGCTAGACCTGAGGGTCCTTCAAGCAGCTTTCAGGTGTTGAGTTGAGAAGTATTGAGCCCCTCTGATTTTAGGCCCAGAAGTCAGATTTATAATGCTTGCGTATGCACAAAATGAGCCCAGAAACTTGCGTACGCCACTTTTCACACAAAGGTTGTGATTTAGAAAATCCATGACATGAAAATGTGCGGTTCCTCAGCCAGCTCTGACCCATGCGTACGCCAATTGCTTTTTCTTGACATTGATCAGCTGACTGATTTAAATACATCTTAACATTCATGAGGCACTTTRCATTGACTGTTTATGGTTGAGTGTGGGCGTGTAGAGGGTAGAACCTGAGGCAGGACCTTGTGTGCAAACTCTGAGGTGCAGCTGTGATCTRTAAAGGAAAGGTGTGCAGAAACATGCATACACATGGTTTTATAAATTTGAATTATTTTATTTACGTAATTTTTGGCGTACACCATTTTYGCCTTTTTGCCGTATGTTCACTTTTTAAGCATGGTTTCCACCCAATCCTTTATAAATGAGGCCCCAGATCAGTGGAGGCCTGCAGTTCTGGTTTTGGAACTTGGTTTTATCTCCACACAGGACCTTCATGTCCTTGGTCACCCTGGACTGCTCGGTCTGACCAGGTATTCCAGGAACAGAACAGAACCTTTTTTGAGAATCGTGGAACCACTAAACTCAGAGGAAACTTCAGAGCAACAGAAATGTAGCTGTGGCTGTAGCTTTTTTTTTTTTCAGACCTGTGTTACAATCATGTCTGAGCTTTGCTGAGCCCCACATCATGATGCCACTGCCATCATGCTTCACTAATAAGATGATAGCAGTTCTCATGAGGAGTGTGGGTTCTTTAGGTTTACTACAGCTGGACTCTGATCAAAGTGTAGAAACATCTCAAGTGAAGTTTGGATCTAAGTTCATTATTTTTTCAGTTTTTTCTAGGGTTGGGCAATATTGGCGAAAAAATTAATCACGATTAATTGTGGTATTTAGCCGATAACGATTAATTTGACGATTAATCCCCCAGAGTCCCTGGACACCCTTATATCCTAGTCACATGACCAATTTATAGGGAGAAAATTGGCTCTTTGTAAAAAATCTGTTCCAAATTGTGTCAAAATTACAGACTTCAGGCTATACATCAAACTTTAAATTGTGTTGATAGATGAATAAATTACACAATTTTTTAATTTTGGTCATATTTGAATCAGAGAGGAACACCAAGCGGTTAGTCTGCCTGGTGGCATTAATCGTATTAATTGTCAACTGCCAAAAATTAAATCGATTAATGTTTTTCTGACGATTAATTGCACACGATACGATTATGCCCAACCCTAGTTTTTTCCTAAACTGTGTAAAAGTTTTTTTGATTTATTTCTGAGTGTTKGTCACTGTGTAGAGAAATGAAAGTGAAGCAGGTGTACCAAGATGTTGAGAGCTAAAACAAACAGACAGATGAGAAGGTTTGAATACTGAAGCTGCTGTTTGTACAGAGCTGCTCACCTTAAATACTTTGAATGACTGAACCATACCTGGATTCTGAAGAGCTTTAATCACACCCTCGTGTTCTTCTGTTGTTGAATCCTGCAAGAAGACAAGGAGCTGACACGGCACAACAGATTTTACTGCACTTTGTGATKAACTAAAGTATGAAGGAGGCCTGTTCTAAAGCTCTGTGTCTTTCCTCAGACCTCAGCAAGAAGCACAAAAAATCTTCAAGGCCAACCACGGTATGGACACTGAAGTCATCAAGGCAAAGGTAAACATTTAACATTCTCCTGACTCCACCTCAACAGACATCTTGTTGCTGAAGCAAATAAACTGTTCAGGAAATATTCATGGGTCAGTTTGTGGTCAGGGTGACTGGATCACCTTCAGATGTTTATCATCTGCTGCTAAAGATGAAGGTGGATGATATTTATATCTGTGTCTTTTAACAAAGTATCTCATGAAGGACTGAATACATTTTAATTAAACTCTTAAAGGAATCATTGGATGAACATGTTCARCTGTTTACTTTTTATAGTCAACCCAACTAAAGATGACTGTCACTTCCAGCTGACGTTTAAACACACAAACGCCTATAATTAGGTCTCCCAAACAAAACATTTAACTACCTTTTATTGCAATTATTAAAGTTTTTATTTGTTAGAGAATAAAAAACGAAATCCATTGCACTTTAGATTTTCAAAATTGGGCATGTACTTTTTAAATGGCCAACATTTTACTCTCGTGACCAGCTGTGCCTCATTTTGACAGTCTGAAGGGCTGTTTTCAGGGGTGATAAAACAATGGAAACAATCCTCTAAAATCCAAGATAATTACTTTGTTGACTGACAAACATATATTTAACAAAAAACAGAAGTATTTACCCCATTGTTTAAATCACTTTTGAAAATATTGAGTCCCAAAAATGGCAAATATGACAAAATTGCACCAAATGAAAATTATGAGCTAATCAGCCAAAGCCATTTTCACACCATATCTCGGTAAGTTTGACACCCACAAACCAAAAAATCTTTATGTTGACTGACATACAATAGTACAAGATGCCCAATTTTTCTCAGATAATTCAATCACTTAGATTCTGAGAAACTGGACCTCAAAAAAGCAAAAATGGTCAAAAATCACTATGTCTGAAAAAGTGCAAAAAATGCAGATTTTTGCACCTTCACAAAAAATGTATCTTTTGATGTAACACTCTGAAACTTTGAACTTGGTAAGAAGTTGCCCCATAAATTTGATATTTAATAATCAAAAAATAATTCTTTTAATAGAAAAAAATTGACAAGCCAGTATATGTGGATCATTTTGCCAATTTTTCAAAAGTATGCAAATTTCCTTTCTATTCAGAGTACTTTTACAGAGTACAAATGTCAGTGTATTAGGATCTGACCACTCAGAATGAACATTTGATGCCAAAAAAAAAAAATAAAGTAATGTAATAAGCATTTTTGTAGCTGTTGCAGAACTATTTTGAGATATATGTCATGTATGCATCAGAGAATTAAAAAGTAGGTGTGGGACTCTGCAGCAGTCAGCAGCCTGTGTTCTTAAATTTAAAACCATTACTCTTTTACAAATGATGATAAACTGGAATAGTACTATGATCTTTAATATTGATAATATTGATTATTTTAAGACAGAAACATGAGTGTATATTTGGATTTTAGGCTGTTATCAAGTAAAAGGTTTAAAGCTTCACAACACGGTGGGTCAATCTGAGAGGCAGAGCTGCTCTTCCTGTTAACTTGGCGATTAAAATGATAAATTCAGACTCTTCAATGGTAAAATTATGTTCCACTTTCTACTCTTAATGATCAKTGTTCAAGTAATTACATACTAAATATGTTTTGAGGGTTACTTTACCTGAAAATTTGTGAAGAATCATGGAGAAACACGTCATTCATTTTGCCTGACTTTCTCCTCCTCTCAGTCACCGGAGACGGGCAGAATGTATAGCTGCTAAAAACTAATTGTTTCTCCTGAATAAAAGCTTTACTTAAATCTAAACCATATGTTTTGTTTAATACAAGAATGATTTTTGCCTAAAGTRGATTTATTAACATGTTTAGTGAGATATCCATGCAGAGGAGTGTCCTCAACCGGACACCTGCTTTGACTGGGGAGGGCTGCCAGTTCGGGAATTCCCCTAATATAATGCCGTGGCACAAATGCCGTTGTTCAGACCCAGATGTTGCATTCAGGGTCATGTAGGAAACTAAATTATCTTTATTTTGATACCAAGTTTGGGGGTCTGTGATGTGTTTTTCTGGGTGAAAATCACAATCAAACTGAAACTTGGAGTTTCTTTCCGGCTTTTCTGTATTAAATTTAATCATATGTACAAAGTGTTTTATATGTACAGAAAGCTTAGAATCTCCTCTATTCATTGATATAAAAACCATTTTTATTGAACGCACCGTTCTCAGATGGTGCAGTTGCAAATATCAGTGTTTTCATGCTGGAGAGCAGCGCTAAAAGTCAGATAAATTCCACAAAGCTAGCGAAACAACCGATTTACTCAGTTTTTATTTTGTTACTGAGGGAGTATTTCTCAACATATTAAAGTAATTCAAAAATCAGTGTAAAGATGAAACTCTAAACTTTATTTCTGTTTTTACAACCTAAATATACATAGAACAGTTTTTTTTATAGGATCAAGCTAAACCTGTTGAATTTGTGTTTTTTCCAAGACTGCACTTTTTTCTGCCAGAATCTGACTGGCGTTTGGGATACCTACTATAATTCAGTCAGTTTTACAGATATTGAGCTAAGACTTGCAGTGGTTGTTGCTGAAAGTCACAGCCTGACTGCTTATGACAGGTGTGAACAGTCCTGGTCCCTGAGGGCTGCAGCCCTGCATGTTTTCCTTGCTTCTCTGCTCCACCTCACCTGGTTTGAATGAATGGGTGATTATCAGCATCTATAGAACTTGGAAGAGGTAATTCAATGACTGAATCAAGTGTGCTGGAGCAGGGATAAAAAGTAAAACATGAAGGGCTGCAGCCCTCAAGGACCAGGATTGCCCACCCCTGGCTTATTATACCATAACGTTATTAAAGCTCTGACCCAAACATCTGTCGCTCTGTCTCTCTCAGCATAAGATGATCCTAATGTAAAACAGAAAGCAGTCATGAAAGGCAGTGAGCATGGTGCATGTGAGTCTTAGTGTTTTTCTGTGTGTGATGTTTTGTTTGTTCTCAGTTGCTGGGATTAGGGATGGCCCTGCTGGACAACGTTGATCCAAACCCAGAGAACTATGTGTGTGCTGGAGTGATCCAGACCAAGGGCCAGCAGGTTGGTTGCCTGCTCAGACTGGAGCCAAATGCACAGGCACAGGTACGGGTCACACTGAAAACCTTTAGAACCACCACGTCTCAGTGATAAATGGACTGTGTATTTATATAGCACCTTTCTATCAACCAGGATATTCAAAGCACTTTTCAATACAATGTGTCCACATTTACCCATCCACACAGCACTTTATCTCATGCACAAATCAATCTATAGAGACTAATTAGTGCTTCATATCACATTCATACACTGATGGGACACTTAGAGGCAGTGGGGGTTCAGTCTCTTGCCCAGGGACACTTCGACATGACTGGCTAGCAGGGAATCGAACCGCCAACTCTCTGGTTAGAGGACAACTCTCTTAACCACTCACAATGAGCCTCATGCAAGAACCGTTCGTACGCACAGATTTGTTAAGTTGTTCATACGAGGGATTTAGGAGAATTTGTGGCATTCACCAATGTTTTCGTATTCTAAGATTTTTTTTAGAAAAGAACAAAATTCAGGAGTGGTCCAGGCCTGTCGTATATTTTACCAGCAGTCAGTCTGCTGTTATCCAGACGGGTTTTCTTCATTATATTTTGTTAGTTTGAAGATATTTTGAGTTGAAAATAAATCACACTCGATTTTCTTGACAATAGGCTTTTCTGCTTGAATTAGAGTTCTAATTTTAAATGTAATAATTTAGACTAACAATATAAATTGTCCGTT